TCAGCTTTTTCTTGCTTTTCCCATATTGTCTGTTTTTCTGCTTTGCTATCATGAGTCTCTTTTGTTTCCTGCTAATAAAATAATCGTCAAATGGTGTTATGTAACTGGACATAAACTTTGTAAGCACTCAAAGTACATTAACATACAATGAAGTAGTTGCTGATGCTCCATTAATCTTGGCATGGATTGTCTATTTCAACATGTGTGATAGCAAAATCTTAGCAATGTGGAAAAAAGGCCTGGTTAAATTATTATTCAAGCCCCTCCCTCTCACCCCTCAATCTTAGTTATTAGATGTCAATGGATTGAACCAAAGGTTATGTCTACTTTTTGATTGGTTGATAGGTTGGGCTGAACCAATGTCATAGGGGGGATTGAAGATAAAGATGTGACCAACCTTTTTTTTTTTAATTTTTTTCTTATCATCTGTATTACTGTGACCACTGTGTTGTCGTAGCAATGGATTATCCATCATTTCCTTCTGTATTTTTGCTCTCAGCTCTGAGGGGAATTTATCAGCAAAGCCATTTTTCTTGAAGAATTCATGCTTCAGCAGATTTCCACAGTTGGGTCTTTCAGTTGGATCCAAAAGTAAAGATAGCTGCCATGAAAATTTGAAATAAACAATGATTGTCAATGACATAATCATTGTGTTCTGTTTGTAAATGTCTGTGTCAATATAAACAATGAAGGATGTAAATAAATTAAATATATGGTGTTTAAATGGTACAGTACAAGTGTAATAAATGAGTTGAACGTTTTGAATTAAAACACACAAAGTAAATATTGTTTGTTGTTCATACTAAGTTTGAATGAAATTGACTACCCAGGCATGCTTGAAAAATGTGTAATTCAATATGATGTAAATGAATGGTTGTTGTCTTATTATTCTCTTGGTGCAGATCTGAGTAAAATATGCAGTGTCCAAGTGGCGCAGTTTATATATTTGGTATTTTTATGAACATTCAAAAAATAAATATGCTTTTTGATTCGTCACTATTTCTTCAATCTAAATCTTCAATAGCAGATTGATTTTGCATTTACTGGAAAAGAAAACTTTCTTAGTTCCAAACGGTACCCGTTAAGTAGTTTATTTGTTCTCAACAATACCCACTAGGAGAGGACAGTTTTTCAGTGCTAAGTTGTTCTCACATGACTCAAGTGATAAACACAATGTTCCCCTCACAAACCCTGGATACAACGCAATAATTTTCAGATCAATGAGCGATGTGAATGCATGTTCATTCTACTGAATCAGCTAAGTAGGTGCATTGTGGTTGAATGAAACATGTAGTTTACTATGATATGTACATGAATCAGGTGCAATTCCTACAGGTCATTGACCCATTGTTCTATACAAATGTAATTACATAACACATGTACACTGTGACAACACACAATCCATGATAGGATTGCAAATTCAATTTAATCATGTTTTCTGAGATCTATGATTTAATCATGGCTCTGTTTGGGATTAATGTTTTTATACATTGGGTCACATGAATAAAACCATCTGTCAGACCAATAAGCAAACTGTGTTTGTTCTAGGATATTGATCCTTTAAGCCTGTAATCTGCTTGTGTATAAACTGAGATGTCAAACAACCCAGCAACAAAGTCAGAAGTTAAGTACCAGTACTGCTTTATTTAGTCATAGACCTTAGATCTTTTAAGGTCTATGATTTAGTGTTTTCTGATTGAATCAGGTCAAAGTCTGAACATCTGGGTATTAAGAATGGCATGAAATTAGATGCCAAGTAATAAATAAGAGATTTAAAATGAGCCAAATATAAAAGGTGACATTCTTTTGAAGTGATTATACCTGTAGTCAGTGTTATGACATATTTTGACACTAAAAGACATTCTTGAAACACTTTGATTGTGAAATTTTCTCTATCAACCTACATAATGTATTATGAGGTTATTTGGTTATGAGGTATCCTCATATTATATTATTATTATTATTATTATTATTATCTTATTATACATCTTTTCCACCCAATGATACATCATGGGAATACCAAAATCCAAAAAGTTTAGAACAGAATCAGCAAACTTCTTTGTGGTGTCCGGTCAAACCCTGGTGGCAGCCATGTTTGTTTTTATTATTACACACATAATCATACCATGTTCGGAATTCACATTTCCTAATATGGTATAATGAAAATACCCCGTAAAATACCGCAAAATTAAGGTACGCAGTAACTTATGGTGTTACATGACAGAAGTTTAATAATATGTAATACATATAAGTTTGAGATGAAAATAAATCACTAAAAACATAGAATTGATAATATTATGAAATAAATAAATCTGATGATAGGTCTACCCATGATTCCTGCATACCAAGTATCAAGTAATTAGTCTTGTATTTTTCAAGAGGAATTTATTTATATCAAAAGTTGACGGACAATTTTATCTTTGATGACAGTAAGAGATAAAAGGTTCATACATCACTGTCTCGTCTCTGAACTACTAACTCACAATTTTATATTGGTGGACTTCCTGCTAACAAGTCTCATTTTCAAAAGATGTCAACAAGTCATGAAAGAGTCTTTGTTAGTTAAAAGAAAACAAAACTGAAATGAGTCAGCCATTTTGAATCAGAACATGAAACAAATTACATATTATAAAAATACAGTTGTAAATTTTGAATGCAATCAGTCAATGTATGTCAGAAACAAGACTCTAGGATAGCATTTGCATTTAGCTATTATGAAAACAATCTGACAAAACATTATGGTTCTGTTATATGCATGTTCAATGTATGAAACAAGCTGGACATGGCACTGACTAGGTATAAACAAGATCTGGGCTTGTAATGGAAGTTCCTTAACTATGAAGATTTTTCAGCACAAAAATGGATGCCATTCAATAATTTTGAATCAGATCATGAAACAAATTGATGTGCGTATATATATTATTATGTATGATGTATGTGTGAAGTTTGATTGTAATCAGTCCAGGCATGTCTATGATATAGGTCCAGCACACCATAAGTCCTTGTTTTCAGACTGTGTATGAACAGGTACTAAAAATGAACAAAATCCAACCACAGACAACCAAAATCTGGCTCTGGAATGGCAGAAAAGCTTGATTTTCATGGATTAAAATAGCCACCATTCGGCCATCTGGAAGCAGATCATGAACAAAAAGACATATGTATATGTAACCCAAGATATATAATG